CCTCAGGGGTCCCGACCCCCAGGTTGAGAAACACTGTGCTAAGGGAACACCTTGGTAAAGGTGTATTCTGTTACCTGGATGATGTCCTCATATTCACACAGGACTTGTGCTCACATGTGCAGCTAGTCAGGGAAGTCCTCAAAAAACTGCTTGCCAACCAACTGTATGTCAAACTGCCAAAGTGTGCCTTCTACCAGGACAAACTGGATTACCTAGGGTACAGGATATCAGCACAGGACATTGAGATAGGTCCCAGCAAGGTAGAGGCAATAGTGGGGTGGGAATCCTCCAGAACAGCTACAAAGCTTCCTGGGATTTGCAAACTTCTACAGGCAATTCATTCCCAACTTTGCCCAAATAGCCTTACCCCTCACTGACATGTTCAAAACAAAGAGGAAGGGAGGGGGAAAACCAACAGAAGGTAAACCCAAGCCAGGCACCAAATTGCCTTGGAGCAAGGAAGCCCAAGAGGCTTTTGAGATGCTAAAACGCCTCATGAACTCAGAGCCCATACTGAAACACCCAGACACACAACACCATTTTGTTATACAAGTGGACGCCAGTGATGTGGTCACGGGAGCAGTGTTGCTACAGAAAGATGACAAAGGCATCTTGCGCCCATGTAGTTATTTCTCAAGGAAATTCAGTGCAACGGAAACACACTGGCCAATTTGGGAGAAGGAGGCAGCAGCCGTCAAATTTGCTTTAGAAGCCTGGCGGCACTTTTGGAGGGGACCCCTCACAAATTTGTAGTGTACACTGACCACAGGAACCTGGAAGCACTCCAAACGCCACGCGAAATGACCCCAAAGCAATTGAGGTGGGCCAATTGCTTTGGGGTCAGATTTGACTTTGAGCTGAAATACCTTCCAGGGAAGGAGAACTTCCTAGCTGACAGCTTATCTAGACTGCCACAGCACAATGCAGACAAACAAGACACTATAGGGACAATCTTTATGCGCACCCAACTAGGCATGAGGGTGCTCACCAGAAGCCAGGCAAGCAAAGAGAGGCCAGACCTGGAGGCCATGCCTCCCCCAGACGGGGAGATTAGGGATCAGTGGTTCAGGGAACACCATCACGAATTGAGTTACCGGGACGGGGTGCGGCTGAAAGGCAACAAAATTTATGTCCCAGAGGACCAAAGAAAACAGGCCCTTCAGGATCACCATGACCACAAATCAGCAGGACATTTTGGATTTGTAAAAACACTGCATGTGCTGAGGAGGAAGCATTGGTGGCCATTCATGCGAAAGGATGTGAAAGCATATGTCCACCAATGCCCAGTCTGCGCCACAGCAAAGGGTGGTGGGGGCAAACCATCAGGTCTCCTGCGCCCATTGGAGACCCCCAGAGCTCCCTGGGAACATATCGGCATGGATTTCACTGTAGATCTCCCCCTAGTAATGGGGAAACCATGATTTGGGTAGTAGTAGACCTGTATGGTAGTTAGTACTTATATAGGAGGCCCATAGTTGAAGCTCTTGTATTCCGAACAATAAACACATTGATGTCTACTCCACTTGCGATTCTCTGCGTGATCCTTCATAGGAGATTTCTCCAGAGCCACACAGCTTGGAACTGAGATATCTGGCAGCATCCTTTCCAGCTGGATCGCAATAAAATCAACTCGGTGGTGCTTCCTTCAGCTTTGGTGAGATTCTTTTGAGAACTTAAGGAAATCTTTTAATTGCAGCTTCTCCTTTCTTTTGCTCACCAAAGTAGCGAGCCCTCTTTGGTGGGTCCGCAGGGTCTCTCCTTCAGGGCGAGACCCTTTTAAATGCCTCCTCGACTTCAAGGAGACATGTCATTTTGCACCCCTCAACGTTTTTGCTACTGGAGCTCGCGCCCCCAAATGGGAAGTTTACCCTCACAACTTTATGTATTTTATGAGTTCCTGTAAATGTTCTGCTCCTACTTTGCCTCATTTTAGTCCTTTAATTGTTTTATCCCGCCCATTGTTATTGTCACCTGTGATTGTGTTTCTTAGAATGTTCTTTTATGACTACTTTTTAAAAATGTAATTTTGGTGATGTTGTTATTTGTTGTTTGTGTTTTGATTTTATTGCTGTAATATGTTGTCCGGGCTTGGTCCCATGTAAGACGCTCCGAGTCCAAATTGTTTATTATTATTATTTAATTATTATTATTATTATTATTATTATTATTATTACAGGGAAAACCAATTGATCCCTAATCCATCTAAAACACAGACATGTGCCTTTCACCTTAAGAACAGACAAGCATCCCGAGCTCTGAAGATCACCTGGGAAGGAATCCCACTGGAGCATTGCAGCGCACCCAAATACCTGGGAGTCACTCTGGACCGTGCTCTGACCTACAAGAAGCACTGCCTGAACATCAAACAAAAAGTGGGTGCTAGAAACAATATCATACGAAAGCTGACTGGCACAACCTGGGGATCACAACCAGACACAGCGAAGACATCCGCCCTTGCACTCTGCTACTCTGCTGCTGAGTACACATGCCCAGTGTGGAACACATCTCACCACACTAAAACAGTGGATGTGGCTCTTAATGAGACATGCCGCATTATCACGGGGTGTCTGCGCCCTACACCACTGGAGAAATTACACTGCTTAGCACCACCTGACATCCGCCGGGAAGTTGCAGCCAATAGTGAAAGGACCAAGGCAGAGACATCTCCAGCTCATCCCCTGTTTGGGTATCAGCCAGCACATCAACGACTTAGATCCAGACATAGTTTTCTTAGATCTAGAGACACTCGCTGGAACACCTCAGCAAGCGAGTCCAAAAGTGGCAGGCTCAAACCCAGAACCTCAATCCGTGGGTGATACCAGATGAGAGACTCCCCACTGGGCACACAGAGGACTGGGCGACTTGGAAGGCGCTGAACAGACTGCGCTCTGGCACCACGAGATGCAGAGCCAACCTTAAGAAATGGGGCCACAAAGTGGAATCCATGACATGCGAGTGCGGAGAAGAGCAAACCACTGACCACCTGCTGCAATGCAACCTGAGCCCTGCCACATGCACCATGGAGGACCTTCTTGCAGCAACACCAGAGGCACTCCAAGGGGCCAGATACTGGTCAAAGGACATCTAATCAACTACCAAGTTTGCAAAATTTGTGGGTTTTTAAAAATCTATTTGTATGTTTTGTTCTGTTAGAAATGTAATACAATGTTCTGGTTGCGGATGACATGATAAATAATTATTAATAATAATAATAATAAATAATAATAATATTTATTCAATGTATTGTTGAAGGCTTTCATGGCTGGAATCACTCAGTTCTTGTGGGTTTTTTCGGGCTATATGGCCATGTTCTAGAGGCATTTCTCCTGACGTTTCGCCTGCATCTATGGCAAGCATCCTGAGAGGTAGTGAGGTCTGTTGGAACTAGAAAGATGAGTATTCACCTGGCCAGACTCACCACTGGCTGGCTCCCCGGGAGAGGCAGGAAAGGCCAGCCAGTGGTGAGTCTGGCCAGGTGAATACTCATCTTTCTAGTTCCAACAGACCTCACTACCTCTCAGGATGCTTGCCATAGATGCAGGCGAAACGTCAGGAGAAATGCCTCTAGAACATGGCTATATAGCCCGAAAAAAACCACAAGAACTGAATAATATTTATTATTATTATTAATAAATAATAATAAATCAAACTACAAGAGAGGAGATTCCATCTGAACATGAGGAAGAATTCCTGACTGTGAGAGCCGTTCAGCAGTGGAACTCTCTACCCCGGAGTGTGGTGGAGGCTCCTTCTTTGGAAGCTTTTAAACAGAGGCTGGATGGCCATCTGTCAGGGGTGCTTTGAATGCAATATTCCTGCTTCTTGGCAGGGGGTTGGACTGGATGGCCCATGAGGTCTCTTCCAACTCTGATTCTATGATGATGATGATGATGATTATGTATTTTGTGGGAGCTGAACTCCAAAACACCTGGAGAGAAGGCCCAAGTTGGCCCATACCTGGATTAGATACCTGGATTTAAGGATAAAGCAGTGAACAGGAAGCGTGGACTTCAACTCCCAGAATCCCTCGCCATTATACAAGCTGGTGAGGGTTTCTGGGAGTCGTAGTGCAATAAGGTTGGGCGGGGCGGCCCACAATTCCCAGAAGCCTCCGCGAGGATCCCAGGCGGGCATGCCGCGGGGCGCGCACGTGAGGCTTTGGGGGCTGCGGACCCTCCTGGGGGCCCCCCTGCGCATGCGCCACGCCTTCCCCTTGGAGGCGCAGGTGCCCCGGGATGTGCTGCTCTTCCAGCACGACCGGCGGCGCTTCTTCCGCCTCCTGGGCCTCTTCTGCGCCGCCCAGTTCGCCTTCTGGTCCTTCTTGGCCCACTTCGCCTTCCATTCCTTGCGGGCGCCCAAGCGGGAGACGGGCAAGGGCAAGGGCCGCCCCGCCCCCACGCTGCCCGGAGGAGCCTCCCTCGACCTGGGCTCCGACAAGTGGCGCTTCGGCTTCAGCGCCTCCTGCCTGACTCTGGGTAAGGAAGGAAGGGGAGGGGCGCCCACAGGCAGGGACACCAGCAAAGCCCTCCCGACGGATGGCCAGCCAGCCCTTGTGCCAACACTCCCAGAGAAGGAGGAGCAGAATCCCCAAAGGCCACCCCCGCCTCTGCCAGACAGGAACACAACCAAAGCCCTCCCGATAGATGGCTGTAAAAGAAGACACCGTCAAAACCCTCTTGACAGAAGGCCAGCCAGCCTTCAGATACCCATATAGAAACAATCATAGATTGGGAAGGGACTCCAAGGGACATTCACACCAACCCCAACTTGTCATAAAGGAGTACACCATCAAAGCCCTCCCAACAGATGGCCATCCAGCCCCCGTTTCAGTGCCTCCAGTGAAGGAATAATAGTATCCTTGAGTTGAAAGGGATTCCCCAAAGGCCACCCCTGCCTCTGCCAGACAGGAACACAACCAAAGCCCTCCCGATAGATGGCTGTAAAAGAAGGCACCGTCAAAACCCTCTTGACAGATGGCCAGCCAGCCTTCAGATACCTTTATAGAAGCAATCATAGATTGGGAAGGGACTCCACACCAACCCCAAGTTACCATAAAGGAAAACACCATCAAACCCTCCCGACAGATGACCAGCCAGCCCTTGTGCCAACACCCCCAGAGAAGGAGGAGTCGAATCCCCAAAAGCCGACCCCGCCTCTGCCAGACAGGAACACAACCAAAGCCCTCCCGATAGATGGCTGTAAAAGAAGGCACCGTCAAAGCCCTCCCCACAGATGGCCAGCCAGCCCCTGTGCCAACACCCCCAGAGAAGGAGGAGTCGAATCCCCAAAGGCCGACCCCGCATCTGCCAGACAGGAACACAACCAAAGCCCTCCCGATAGATAGCTGTAAAAGAAGGCACCAGCAAAGCCCTCCCAGATGGCCAGCCAGCCCCTGTGCCAACACCCCCAAAGAAGGAGGAGTCGAATCCCCAAAGGCCGACCCCGCATCTGCCAGACAGGAACACAACCAAAGCCCTCCCGATAGATAGCTGTAAAAGAAGGCACCAGCAAAGCCCTCCCGATGGATGGCCAGCCAGCCCCTGTGCCAACACCCCCAGAAAAGGAGTAGTCGAATCCCCAAAGGCCGCCGCCACCTCTGCCAGACAGGAACACGACCAAAGCCCTCCCGATAGATGACTGTAAAAGAAGGCACTGCCAAAGCCCTCCCGACAGATGGCCAGCCGGCCCCTGTGCCAACACCCCCATAGAAGGAGTAGTCAAATCCCCAAAGGCCACCCCCGCCTCTGCCAGACAGGAACACAACCAAAGCCCTCCCGATAGATGGCTTTAAAAGAAGGCACCATCAAAACCCTCTTGACAGATGGCCAGCCAGCCTTCAGATACCTAATAGAAGCAATAATAGATTTGGGACTCCAAATCTATTGGAGCTCGCACCCCCAAATGGAAAGTTTAGCCTCACAAGTATGTATTTTATGAGTTCCTGTAAATGTTCTGCTCCTACTTTGTCTCATTTTAGTCACACCAATCCCAACTTGCCATAAAAAGCCCTCCCAACAGATGGCCATCCAGCCCCTGTTCCAGTGCCTCCAGTGAAGGAATAATAGTATCCTTAAGTTGAAAGGGATTCCCCAAAGGCCAACCCTCCTTCTGCCAGACAGAAACGCAATCAGAGCACTCCCGATAGATGGCCATAAAGGAAGGCACCGTCAAAGCCCTCTTGACAGATGGCCACCCAGCCCCCAAATACCTCTATAGAAGCAATCATAGACTTGGAAGGGACTCCACAAGGGACATTCACACCAACCTCAATTTGCCATAAAGGAGTACACCATCAAAGCCATCCCAACAGATGGCTATCCAGCCTGTTTCAACACCCCCAGAGAAGGAATAGTTGAATCCCCAAAGGCCAATTCCGCCTCTGCCAAACAGGAACACAACCAAAACCCTCCCGATAGATGACTGTAAAAGAAGGCACCATCAAAACCCTCTTGACAGATGGCCAGCCAGCCTTCAGATATCTTTATAGAAGCAATAATAGATTTGGAAGGGACTCCAAGGGACATTCACACCAACCCCAACTTGCCATAAAAGAGTACACCATCAAAGCCCTCCCAACAGATTTTATTTATTTATTTATTTATTTATTTATTATTTGGACTTCTATGCCGCCACTCCCCTGGGTCTCGGAGCGGCTTACAAGGATGGCTAAAATCTAACAAAATTTAAAAGCAATTTAAAACAATTTAAAAACAGCAATATCAAACATTAAAAGCCTGTCGAAACAGGTATGTCTTACATGCCCTGCGGAAAGCAAGGCACGGGCTTCAGGTGGCAGAGTATTCCAGAGTGATGGTGCCACTGCTGTGAAGGCTCTGCGTCTGGTTGCTGTTAGACGCAAGGTCTTGACACTGGGAATTTCCAATAGATCTTGGTCCTCAGAATGGAGGGATCTCTGGGGTTGGTAGGGGGTGAGGCGGTCCCTCAAGTACATCAGCCCCAGACCATGCAAGGCCTTGAAGGTGAGTACCATCACTTTGAAAGTGATCCGGTGCTCAATTGGTAACCAATGCAGCTGTAGTAAGATTAGGGTTATATGGCATCTCATCGGAATTCCCGCAAGAAGCCGAGCAACTACATTTTGTACCAACTTGAGCTTGCGGATCACCGATAGAGGAAGGCCAATGTAGAGGGTGTTACAGTAGTCCAGTCTTGAGATGACCGTGGCCTGGATCACTCTGGACAGAGAGGGGGCCAGCCGTCTGGCCTGCCGCAGATGAAAGAAGGCGGTTCTGCTCACGGCGGAGACCTGGGCCTCCATCGTCAGCAGAGGGTCCAAAAGGACTCCCAGACTCTTGACCAATGATGACGGGTGTAGCGCCTCGCCATCCAGGGTGGGCAGATGGATGTCCCCACTGCCCGGTCCACCCAGCCATAGGATCTCCGTCTTTGCTGGATTCACCCTCAACCTGCTGGCACACAGCCATCCAGTAACAGCCTCGAGGCACTGATGGAAACCATCGGGTACAGAGTCCGGTCGGCCTTCCATCTTCAGCACCAGCTGAGTGTCATCGGCGTACTGATAACACTCAAGCCCAAAACCTTGAACCAGCTGAGCAAGTGGTCGCATATAGATGTTAAATAACAGAGGGGAGAGAATGGCCCCCTGAGGAACCCCACAGATGGCCATCCAGCCCCCGTTTCAGTGCCTCCAGTGATGGAATAATAGTATCCTTGAAAGGGATTGCCCAAAGGCCAACCCCCCTTCTGCCAGACAGAAACGCAATCAGAGCACTCCCGATAGATGACCATAAAGGAAGGCACCATCAAAGCCCTCTTGACAGAGGGCCACCCAGCCCCCAAATACCTCTGTAGAAGCAATCATAGACTTGGAAGGGACTCCAAGGGACATTCACACCAATCCCAATTTGCCATAAAGGAGTACACCATCAAAGCCCTCCCGACAGATGGCCATCCAGCCCCCGTTTCAACACCCCCAGAGAAGGAATGGTCGAATCCCCAAAGGCCAATCCCGCCTCTGCCAAACAGGAACACAACCAAAACCTTCCCAATAGATGGCTGTAAAAGAAGACACCATCAAAACCCTCTTGACAGATGACCAGCCAGCCTTCAGATACCTTTATAGAAGCAATCATAGATTGGGAAGGGACTCCACACCAACCCCAATTTGCCATAAAGGAAGACACCATCAAACCCTCCCGACAGATGGCCACCCAGCCCCCAAATACCTCTATAAAAGCAATCATAGATTTGGAAGGGACTCCAAGGGACATTTGTATGTTTTCAAACGGCTAGGTTGGCAGAAGCTGGAGCTAACAGCAGGAGCTCACCCCGCTCCCCGGATTCAAAACTCTAACCTTTTGGTCAGAAGGTTCAGCAGCTCAGCGGTTGCACCACCAGGGGGCACTATTATAGCTATATATAATCTTTGTTCTTACTATATCAATAGTATGGATGTTAGTTGATTGGTTTGTACCACAAAGACTCCTCCATAGTTTGAAAAAGAAGAAAGGAAAAAAGGGAAGGGAAAGGAAAGAGAGAGAGAGAGAAAAAAGGGGGAAGGTGGATGAAGGAAAGGAAAGGAGGCTTTGAAGCCGAGGCTGGGTGGCCATCTGTCAGGAGGGCTTTGATTGCTCTCCCTACATTTTTTTTAAAACCCTCCTACTAGATACATCCTACCAGCGTTCATGCCCAGCATTTGTTTTTAAATTTTTCTATTACATCTGGCCCGGCCATAGGTTTTTTAAATCTCTGCGTGTTATTGTCTGTATGTGAGTTATATTAATTGTATTGTTTTATTTGTTTATTGCTTGTTGTTTCTATAGGTGTGTTGTTGGGCTTGGCTCATGTAAGCTGCTCCGAGTCCCCTTGGGGAGATGGTGGCGGGGTATAAATAAAGCATTATTATTATTATTATTATTATTATTATTATTATTATTATTGATGGAGTCTTCCTTTGTGGTAGTTTAGGTTTGGTCTGAACGTCCCTTGGAATCTCATCCAACTCTAGGATTGTATAACAATAATAATCTTTGCTAATGATTATGATGGAGTCCCCTTCTCTGGATGACTTGAAGCTGAGGCTGGATGGCTATCTGTCAGGAGGGCTTTGACAGTGTCTTCCTGCCTGTCTCAGTAGGGCTACACTGGATGGCCCTTGGGGCTCTCTAGTATCAACAACAACAACAACAATAATATTTGCTAAAAATGATGATGGAGTCCCCTTCTCTGGAGGCCTTGAAGCTGAGGCTGTATGGCTGTCTGTTGGGAGGTCTTTGATGGTGTCTTCCTGCCTGGCTCAATGGGGTTAGACTGAATGACCCTTGGGGCTCTCTAGTATCATCATAATCAACAATAACAACAACAGTCTTTGCTAATGATGATGACAGTCTCCTTCTCTGGATATTTGAAGCTGAGACTGGATGGTTGTCTGTTGAGAGAGCTTAGATGGTGTCTTCCTGCCTAGCTCAATGGGGTTGGACTGGATGACCCTTGGGACTCGGTAGTATCAATATCAACAACAACAATAATGATCTTTTGGAGCTCTTTAGTATCAACAATAACAAAAATATTTGCTAATGATGTAGTACAGTTTCTTGATTAGCCCATTGGCTGTGTCAAAAACATTTGACAAACACATACACATAACACATACAGCATACGACGCACAGTACAACATAAATTACAATCAAGCTGTTAACAAGGTCCTGATCCAAATCAGATATCTGTATCACCTCTACAGTTTACCCCAATTGACTCTAAATTGATAACCCAATCAACTATTAATAATCTTTGCTGCTGCTGCTGCTGCTGCTGCTGCTGCTGCTGCTGCTGCTGCTGCTGATGATGATGATGATGATGATGATGATGATGATGGAGTCTCCTCCTCTGGATGCTTTGAAGCTGAGACTGGATGGTCATCTTTCGGGAGGGCTTTGATGGTGTCCTCCTGCCTAGCTCAGTGGGGTTGGACTGGATGGCCCTTAGGGCTCCCTAGTATCAATAATAATAATAATCGATATAAATAAAATGTAATGTTTGTTTGTGAGATTAACATAACTCAAAAACCACTGGACGAATTGACACGAAATTTGGACACAACACACCTAACAGTCCAATGAGTGTCCATCACCCATATACACAACACACATACACACACAAAACCCCAGCAGAACAGACTAAAACCCCCCAAAATACACCATATATAGTTACATACACTCATACATATGCACATGCACACATTCATACACACACACGTATATATATGCACAAACACACACAAATACACACATATACACACATACATATACATATCCATATACATACATATATACACAAATATGCATATAGACACACACATATACACAATATGTATGGACACATATAAATACACAAATACACAAATATATACACATATATATATACTTTTTAGGCGATCCCTCGTAGTCCAAGGATGATGGTCCTCCAAGTTTGGTGTCCTGGCGGTGGGTCCGTAGGTGACTGTGGAGCCCTATTCTTGCTCTGCATCTTCTCCCGCAGTGAGGGCATCGGTTTCCAGGTGGAAGGCGGTCTCAGTTGGCTTGACGTGCCTTCCTCTTGTCACGTTTCTCTCTTTCACCCTCCATTCGTGCCTCTTCAAATTCTACAGCACTGCTGGTCACAGCTGACCTCCAGCTGGAGCGCTCAAGGGCCAGGGCTTCCCAGTTCTCAGTGTCTATGCCAGAGATTTTAAGGTTGACTTTGAGCCCATCTTTAAATCTCTTTTCCTGCCCACCAACATTCCGTTTTCCGTTCTTGAGTTCGGAGTAGAGCAACTGCTTTGGGAGATGGTGGTCGGGCATCCGGACAACGTGACTGGGTGTTGGCTTTCAGCCTGCTGAGGTTAAACAGCTTGCCATCTGTCCAGTAGATGATTTCCACTCCGCTGGGAAGCTTCCCATCATATATATACACCCACATATGCAACACACATATATACACACACAAAACACATATACTGGGCCACAGCAATGCCACAGCGTGGCAGGGAACGGCTAGCAATAACAATAACAATAATAATAATGGGAAGTGTCCGACGTGTGATCCAATACAACAGACAGCAGAGTGATCTTGTCTGCTGTGGACTCATCTTGTTGTGTTTCAAATAATAATAATAATAATAATAATAATAATAATAATAATAACTGTGCGGTTTTCTGGCATTGTATATTTCTGCCGCTTCTGTGACTATTCATTTGTATTTTGATTCTGTAGCCCAGTTGTCAATGGATGTCCAGAATCAGCAGCATCCACCGCGGTCCTTTTTATCCTGAGCGTCAACCAGTATAGACTTTGTTTTGGATTGTTTCTCCATGGGTTCGGTGTTCTTAGTTCCACTCCTCAGCTGAGACCTCTCTGACTTGGTTGGATCTGTTGGTAGTTACACTACCGCCAGCACAGCTCTCAGCATCTTTGGAGCAGTTAAGCCCTCCACCACAACAAGGTGGCACCCATCCGGTATATAATAATAATAATAATAATAATAATAATAATAATAATAATAATCTTTATTTCTACCCCGCCACCATCTTCCCGATGGGGACTCGGAACGGCTTACATGAGGCCAAGCCCGGACAACATAATACAGCAATAAAATCAAAGCATATACATCAGACAACAACAACATTATCAAAATGACATTAAAATAATAATAGTAATAATAAAATAAAAATAAAAAACAAAATAAAAATTCCAATAGGCACAATCACGATAGAGATGACAATGGGCGGGCCACATATTCTGAATATAAATTAACAGACTATGATGAGATAAAATAGGAGCAGGAAGTTTAAATGGAACTCATAAAACACAGAGTTGTGCGGCAGAACATCCTATTTGGAGGGCACAAACTCCATTAGCCAAAAATGTTGAGGGGGTGTAAAATATAATGCTGAGCACCTGCTCGCCAAAAGCGCAGCGGAAAAGCCAGGTTTTGAGGTTCTTTTTAAATGTTTCCAGTGAAGGGGCTTTCCTGATCTCCCCAGGTAAAGAGTTCCAAAGTTGGGGGCCCCAGAAGATAAGGCTTTCTCCCTTGTGCCCACAAGACGAGCTTGTGAGATTGGTAGAGGCGAAAGGAGGACCTCCTTTCGCCTCTACCAATGGAACGAAGGGCCCGGGTTGGTACGTGGAGCAAGATACGGTCACAAAGGTAGGCAGGTCCCAAACCGTTTAGGGCTCTATAGGTGATAACTTGTACCTTGAATTGGGACCGCAAAATAAACGGCAACCGGTGGAGCTCCTTAAACAGGGGGGTTGACCTCTCCCTGTAGGATGCCCCAGTTAACAATCTGGCTGCCGTGCTTTGGACCAGTTGTAGTTTCCGGGCCGTCTTCAAGGGTAACCCCACGTAGAGAGCATTACAGTAGTCCAGTCTAGAGGTAACTATGGCATGGAACACCATGGTCAAGCCAGACTTCACGAGGTATGGTCGCAGCTGGTGCACAAGTTTTAATTGTGCAAAGGCCCTCCCGGCCACTGCCGACGCCTGCGCATCAAGCGTCAGTGCTGAATACAGGAGAACCCCCAAGCTGCGGACCTGTGACTTCAGAGGGAGTGCAACCCCGTCCAGCACAGGTTGCCACCCAATACCCTGGTCAGACGAGCGACTGACCTGGAGGACCTCTGTCTTGTCAGGAATGATCCTCAGCTTGTTTGTCCTCATCTAGATCGACACAGCGGCCAGGCACTGGTTCAGTATCCTCGGGCCTTCAACAATAATAACAATAATAATAATAGATGACATTGGTGATTATGATGGAGTCTCTGGATGCTTTGAAGCCAAGGCTAAGTGGCTATCTGTCGGGAGGGCTTGGATGGTGTTTTCCTTTATGGCAGAACGGGGTTGGATTGGATGGCCTTTGGGGATCCCTCCCAGCTCTAGGATCCTAATCTTCCGTGTCTTTGCAGGGTGTCTGATTGTGGCTGCAGGTTTTGCCTTTTCCCGGCGCTCCGTCGGCCGTGTCCTGCTGCACCGCGGGGGCCAAGAGGTGACGCTGAGCACCTACTACCCGTTTGGCCTCACTTCCTCCTTCTCGGTGCCCCTGCGCCACGTCTCCTGCATGTCCCACCGGTCGGAGGTCCCGGCCTGGATCCCACTCAAGGTCAAGGGGAAGCCCTTCTATTTCCTGCTGGACAAACAGGGGCGGGTGACAAACGCCCAGCTTTTTGACATCACTGTGGGAGCCTATCGCAAACTATAAAGCCCAAGGCTGCCGGGGGAGAAGAGGAACCCTTGCATTCATGAACTCAATGGAAGAAAACCCTTCTTACCCCTCCCATCTTACTGCATTTTGAACTGGGATTGTGTTGGGCCTTCAGATGTGCCGACATTGTATTGGATGCTGTGAATAAAAAGATGTAAATAACTGTTTTTCAGTGTTTTGCACGTTTTAATTGCTTTCTGCATTTAATTTTATTTTAATACTAGCTTAGGGACCTGGCGGTGCCCGGGTGATTTGTGGGATGTTAGGTAATATCACTTAAATCTGGTCCAGTTTTGGTCCAGATCCATCGTTGGGTGGGTTCAGTTCTCTCTGGATAAGGCAGAACTACAACTCCCAGATTCCCAGGGCAATCACTTCCAAACCCTGCCAGTATTCACAGTTGGCCACGTTGGGTCTGTGTACCAAGTTTGAAATCAAGGTCAATCTCCCCCCCCCTCCCAAAACAAACTAACAAACAAACAAACCTTGCAATATGTTCAGCTGGCCATGGAGCTTCTCTGGGCCAAGTTTGGTCCCAGTCCATTGTCTGTGGGGAACACAGTATCTCTGGATGCAGGTGAACTACAACTCCCAGAAATCAAGGTTAATCCCCCCCAACCCCCCCCCCCTCTGCAATATGTTCAGTTGGTCATGGGGCTTCTCTGGGCCAATTTGGTCCCAGTCCATTGTCTGTGGGGATCACATTATCTCTGGATGCAGGTTAACTACAACTCCCAGAAATCAAGGTAACCCCCCCCCCCCAAAACCCAAACAAACCCTGCAATATGTTCAGCTGGTCATGGGGCTTCTCTGGACCAAGTTTGGCCCAGATCTGTCACTGGTGGGGTTTAGAATGCTCTCTGGGATTGGCGGAATCAACTTTGATTTTGGGAGTTGTAGTTCACCTGCATCCAGAGAGCACTGGACCCAGCCAATGACGGATTTGGGCTATACTTGGTGCATAAACCCAACATGACCAACTGTGAATACAGGCAGGGCTTGGGGATGATTGCCCTGGAAATCTGGGAATTATAGTTCACTTGCATCCTGAGAGCACTGAATCCACACAGGGATGGATCTGAACCAACCTGGCACTGCCAGGTCTCCAGGTTAGTAAAAACAACAACAACAACAACAGAAGAAGAAGAAGAAGGAGAAACAATGTCGTTCTATAAGGAATTTGGATTGTGTTGTCAAAGGCATTCAGGGCTGGAATCACTGGGTTGTGAGTTTTCTGGGCTGACTGGCCATGTTCCAGAAGCATTCACTCCTGATATTTTGCTCACATCTACGGCAGGCATCCTCCGACGTTGTGAGGTCTGTTGGGAAAAGGGCAAGTGGGGTTTATACATCTGTGGAATGTCTAGGGGTGGGAGAAAGAACTCTTGCCTGTTTGAGATAGATATGAATGTTGCCATTGGCCACCATGATTAGCATTTAATGGCCTTGCAGCTTCAAGGTCTGGCTTCTTCCTGTCTGGGGGAATCCTTTGTTGGGAGGTGTTAGGTGACCCTGACTGGAATTTGGATTGTTACGATGGCCAGATAGTTTTGGTTTCCAATATATTAAAGGTGAGCTGGGCCTAGCTTCCAAAGCCTTTTTTGTCCCAGACGTGTGGCATCTGCACTATAGTATTAATTCAGTTTGACACCACTTTTTTTGCCGTGGTTCAAGACCATAGCTTGTAGTTTTGCAAAATCTTTTGCCTTGTTTTGCAAAAAGATGTATTTTCACATATAATGTTACCATATTTATATATCCTTTTAAAGATGCAGTGGTATTTCCACATATTGTGTCGATTTATTTCCTTTACCATAATGAAATGCGATGGTATTTCCACATCAATGTCAATTTATGTACTCTTATAGGATGCAGCAGATAGAAGATGGCTTTGAAAAGCAGCAGATCACAGGAGCTATCTTCATAGACCTATCAGCGGCTTATGATACTGTGAACCACCGCCTCCTCCTGAGAAAAATGTATACCATCTCAAAGGACGACTACCTCACCCGTCTCATAGGAAACCTGCTACAAAACAGGAGCTTTTTTGTTGAGTGCCAGGTCCAGAGAAGCAGATGGCGGAAACAGAAGAACGGCCTGCCTCAGGGGAGCGTGCTTGCTCCATCCATGTTCAACATCTACACAAATGACCAGCCATTGCCAGAAGGGACAGAGAGTTTCATCTATGCTGATGATCGTGCCATCACTGCTCAAGCAGGGAGCTTTGAGATGGTTGAACAGAAGCTCTCCAAAGCTCTAGGTCAATGATGGGCAACCTTTTGAGCTTGGTGCGTCACTATTTGCCAAAAAAACGAGCATAATTTGGGTGGGGTGACACTTCGAGAAAAAACCCATAATTTCATGATATTTGTAGTTTAATAACAAAAATATATTATTGTAATATATAACTATATTTAATAATCCAAAAACTATATCTCGGCATTATAGAAAAATGCTGGTGTAGGAGCCGAGGATGAAATGTCCTTCTTGGAATGTATGCGGCCACATGCGACCGTGTGTCATTGAAAATGGCTACGCGTGAGTGCTGACACACGTGTCATAGGTTCGCCATCATGGCTCTAGGTGCTCTAACTGCCTATTACAGGGAAAACCAACTGATCCCCAACCCACCTAAAACACAGACATATGCCTTTCACCTCAAGAACAGACAAGAATCCCGAGCTCTGAGGATTACCTGGGAAGGAATCCCACAGTGCACCCAAATACCTGGGAGTCACTCTGGACCGTTCTCTGACCTACAAGAAGCACTGCCTGAACATCAAACAAAAAGTGGGTGCTAGAAACAATATCATACGAAAGCTGACTGGCACAACCTGGGGATCACAACCAGATACAGTGAAGACATCTGCCCTTGCGCTATGCTACTCTGCTGCTGAGTACGCATGCCCAGTGTGGAACACATCTCACCACGCTAAAACAGTGGATGTGGCTCTTAATGAGACATGCCGCATTATCACAGAGTGTCTGCGCCCTACACCACTGGAGAAATTACACTGCTTAGCCGGTATTGCACCACCTCTCATAGAATCATAGAATCAAAGAGTTGGAAGAGACCTTATGGGCCATCCAGTCCAACCCCCCTGCCAAGAAGCAGGAATATTGCATTCAAATCACCCCTGACAGATCCCAGGAAGTAGCAGCCAATAGTGAAAGGACCAAGGCAGAGACATCTCCAGCTCATCCCTTGTTTGGGTATCAGCCAGCATGTCAACGACTTAAATCAAGAAATAGTTTTCTTAGATCTACAGAGACACTCGCTGGAACACCTCAGCAAGCGAGAGTCCAAAAGTGGCAGGCTCAAACCCAGCACCTCAATCCGTGGGTGATACCAGATGAGAGACTCCCTCCTGGGCACACAGAAGACTGGGCGACTTGGAAGGGGCTGAACAGACTGCGCTCTGGCACCACGAGATGCAGAGCCAACCTCAAGAAATGGGGCACCAAAGTGGAATCCACGACATGCGAGTGTGGAGAAGAGCAAACCACTGACCACCTGCTGCAATGCAACCTGAGCCCTGCCACATGCACAATGGAGGACCTTCTTGCGGCAACACCAGAGGCACTCCAAGGGGCCAGATACGGGTCAAAGGACATTTAATCAGCTACCAAGTTTGCAAAATTTGTATTTTTTTAAATCTGTTTGTTTTGTTTTGTTAGAAATGTAATACAATGTTCTGGTTGCGGATGACACGATAAATAATAAATAGGATGCTGTGACATTTTTACATATAATGTCGATCTGTTTCCCTATTTCCCTTCCTTTCTCCTTCCCTATTTGGTTGCCTAGGCCTGACTTAGCCATGATGCCCTTCTGGTGGGTTGCTGTGCTGCGGTTGCCGTGCTGCGGTTGCCGTGCTGCGGTTGCCGTGGAAACGCCCATCCTCGCCAGTGGAGCCAAGATGGCCGCCCCAAAGGCAGCAGGGGAAATGGGAGGAGGAGAGACCCCCATTGTGGGGCCAGGAAGGACGGAGCCGGAGGAGAAGAGAAACCGAGGTGAGTTGCAGGAAGCGCACACCTACCTGTCCATCATTTCCTTTTTAAAAAATAGTATTTTAAAATAATTTTGTGGAATATTTCTTTTAATTTTTTCCCCAAAGAGTATGGTAGGGATACAGGGAGGGGTAAGAGTGTTAATAATAATAATAATAATAATAATAATAATAATCTTTATTTGTACCCTGCCACCATTTCCCCAATGGGGACTCGGGGTGGCTCACATGAGGCCAAGCCCGACAACGTGATACAGTAAATAAAATCAAAACACAAACAACAGCATAAAATATATTAGTACATTAATATATCATAACAAATATAGAATAGCTAAAAGTTTTCCGAGCTGTCTGGCCATGTTCCAGAAGCATTCTCTTCTGACGTTTCACCCACATTTATGGCAGGCATCCTCAGAGGTTGTGAGGTTTGTTGAAAACTAGGAAAATGGGGTTGATATATCTGTGGAATAATGTCCTGGGTGGAAGAAAGAACTCTGGTCTGGGTTGTTGTAGCTTTTTTCGGGCTCTATGGCCATGTTCTAGAGGCATTCTCTCCTGATGTTTCACCTGCATCTATGGCAAGCATCCTCAGAGGTAGTGAGATCTGTTGGAACTAGAAAAATGGGTTTTCTATATCTGTAGAATGACCAAGGTAGGACAAAGAACCCTGGCAGTGCCTGGGGCAATCTTTTGTTGAGAAGTGATTAGATGTCCCAGATTGTTTCCTCTCTGTTGTTTTGCCATAGCAGAGCACCTGATGAACCAACCTGGACACAGCATATTATTTGAGAACACAGAAATGCTGGACCACTCTAACAACCACCATGTCAGACTACACAGAGAAGCCATTGAAATCCACAAGCATGTGGACAATTTCAACAAAAAGGAGGAAATCATCAAAATGAATAAAATCTGGCTACCAGTATTTAAAAAACCCTAAAATTACAACAACAAAACAACAGAGGAGAAACAATCAGGCACATCTATTCACTTCTCAACAAATGATTGCCCCAGGCACTGCCAGGCAATCAAATGCTAATCAAGGTGGTCAGTTGAAACAGTCACACCTAGCTCCAACAGACAAGAGTTCTTTGTCCCACCCTGGTCATTCCACAGATATATAAACCCATTTTCCTAGTTCCAACAGACCTCACTACCTCTGAGGATGCTTGCCATAGATGCAGGCGAAATGTCAGGAGAGAATGCCTCTAGAACATGGCCATAGAGCCCGAAAAAAACTACAACAATCCAGTGATTCCTGCCATGAAAGCTTTTGACAACTCTGGTCTATTGGAGGTAGGTGTGAATGTTTCAATTGGCCACCTTGATTAGCATTTAATGTGTAGCCTGACATGTTGGTTGTCAAAGTGGTCCAGCATTTCTGTGTCCTCAAATAACAAAGCTACATAGGGATGACCAAACGCAGCAGCATTGCCCAAATACGAATCAAGGAACATGAAAGGCACTGCAGACTAAGCCAGCCAGAGAAGTCAGCCATAGCAGAGCACCTGATGAACCAGCCTGGACACAGCATATTATTTGAGAACACAGAAATGCTGGACCACTCCAACAACCACCATGTCAGACTACACAGAGAAGCCACTGAAATCCACAAGCATGTGGACAATTTCAACAGAAAGGAGGAAACCATGAAAATGAATAAAATCTGGCTACCAGTATTAAAAAAAAACTCCAAAATCGTAACAGTAAATAAAGAACAACTTTCAGGGGAACTCCAGACAAGAAACAACCAGGGACAGCTAATCACCTCTAAACAAAAGATTCCCTCAGGCAGTAAGAAGCCACATCTGAAACTGCCAGGCCATTAAATGCTAATCAAGGCTTTCATGGCCAGAATCATTGGACATGTCGAAGGCTTTCATGGCCAGAATCATTGGACTGTTGTTGTAGATTTTTCAGGCTATATAGCCATGTTCTAGAAGCAGGCAACCTCTAAGGATGCCTGCCATAGATGCTGGCGAAACGTCAGGAGAGAATGCTCAAGGGAGTGTATTTTTGAGGCACCTACGTCTGACAGATGTCCACCTGAGTTGATCCAGATGGCCAATAGATCTGACCCTGATCTGGTGTAAAGTAGGCCTTTGTGGATCGTGCCAAGGAATTGAATGTCCGGACACCGGAGAGGAGCAGGGTGTCCTTGCTGGGTGCCCTCTATACTCTCAGTAATCCAAGATATCTTGTTTCCTAATCTGATTGGCATGAGCCTTCAGTAATGTGCACCCTTCCATCATACTCTCACATCTTTCACCTGCTTTCCTTTCCTCCATTTCAAGTTTACTTTAATTATTAATTTCTATTATATTTATTATTATCATCACTATTATTTTAATTTCTATTATTATATTTATTTCTGTTATTTTATTATTTTAGTTTCTATTATTATATTTATTTCTATTCTATGTATTATTGTTATTCATTTTATTTACATGTACATAACAACAACATAATAACATGGACAACACCGGCTCTTCAGCTTACAAAAAAGAGATGAGCACCATACCCCAGAGTCAGACATGACTGGACTTAATGTCAGGGGACAACCTTTTTTAACCTACATAACAACACAGCACACATGCACATTAGATCTTAATTTCTATTATTATTATTGTATTTATATTTATATATCACCTTTTCCCTCAAAAGGGATTCAAAAGTGGTGAACAGTGGTTAAAATCATAAGACTATAAGCATTACAATGGAATGTAACCTAGTTCTATTTAAAATGAATACCCACCATTTCCTGGGTTATTTGAAAGAGTTAATTTTTTAATTGTTCAAAATGCATAATGTTGTGGGGGAACTACAACTCCCATCATGCCAGGTTAACCTTGAGAAACTCCATCAGTACTTAAAGTTTGTTATATTGGGCAAGTTTGCTCTAGATGCATCATCAGTGAGGTTCAATGTGCTCTCTGGCAGTAGGGTAAACTACAATTTCTGTTATGATGAGTCAGTCCCCTCAAACCCCTCCAGTAGATTGAGTTATGTGCGCCAAGTTTTGTTCAGGTCCATCATCAGTGGAGGTCACAGTGCCCCTGGTTGTGGGTGAACTACGACTCCCTGAAAAGAAGGTCAGTTACACCAAGGCAGCATTTCTCAATCTGGGAAGGGGTGGGGGTCACCAGGGTGGTGTCAGAAGGGTCACCAAAGACCACCAGAAAACACAGTATTTTCTGTTGGTCATGGGGGTTCTGTGTGGGAAGTTTTTCCCAATTCTGTAGTTGGTGGGGTTCAGAATGTTCCCTGATTATAAGTGAACTATAAATCCCAGTAACTACAACTCCCAAATGGCAAGGTCTATTTCCCCCAAACCCCATCTGTGTTTATATTTGGGCATATTGAGTATTTGTGCCAAGTTTGGTCCAGATCCAGCATTGTTTGAGTCCACAGTGCTCTCTAGATGTAGGTAAACTGCAACTCCAGAACTCAAGGTCAATACCCACCAAACCCTTCTAGTGTTTTCTGTTGGTCAGGGGAGTCCTGTGTGCCAAGTTTGGTTCAGTTCCATCATTGGTGGGGTTCAGAATGCTCTTTGATAATAGGTGAACTATAAATCCCAGCATCTACAACTCCCAAATTACAAAATCATAATGTTTTGAGTGATGGTCACTCCTTGTGCTATGAGACATTTTGTTGCCAAATTTGGTGTGATTTCGTTCATTGGTTCTTTTGTTTTTAAGGTACTCATTACGCACAGAGCATTTTTATATATATAGATAGTAAACAACTAGCAGTAGTGAGAGGAAAGAGGTGAAATAAAGTGACAGTAATAATCATCATTATCATCCTCATCCTAGGAGCCCCCAGTGGCGCAATGGGTTAAACCCCTGTGCCAGCAGGACTGAAGACTGACAGGTCGGAGGTTTGAATTCGGGGAGAGCGTGGATGAGCTCCCTCTGTCAGTTCCAGCTCCCCATGTTGGGACATGAGAGAAGCCTCCCACAAGGATGGTATAACATCAAAACATTTGGGCGTCCCTGGGCAACGTCCTTGCAGACGGCCAATTCCCTTACACCAGAAGTGACTTGCAGTTTCTCAAGTTACTCCTAACATGAAAAAAAAATCCTCACCCTCATCACTATTTAATTTTACTTCTTTCCCCTCAATACGGATAGTTCTTTCCTTACTTCAAAAATCAAATCAAAGGGAAGGCTTTTCCAGGAGATTTCTATGTATAATAACGGGGAATAGGGATAAAGGACATAATAATAATAATAATAATAATAATAATAATAATAATTTGGCCAGTGAAGCTGTATTAAAAGGGTGTTGTATGCTCCCTATAGTTTGCTCCATACGGAGCAAACTGGCTGCTGCCCGCTGTACCAGTTCAAACTTCCGGGCCGTCTTCAAGGGCAGCCCCATGTAGAGCACATTGCAATAGTCCAGTTTGAATGTAACCAAGGCGTGGACCGCCCTGGTCAGACTTCACGAGGTATGGTCACAACTGGCGCACAAGTTTGAGTTGTGCAAAGGCCCTCCCGCCCACCGCTGACACCTGAGCATCAAGCAACAACATTGAATCCAGGAGGACCCCCAAGCTACGGACCTGTGCCTTCAGGGGGAGTGTAACCCCGTCGAGCACAGATTGCCACCCATTCAATTTCCTTTTAACCTGTGCAACGATGACACAATTTCACCATTTTGGTAAACATTATAAATACTTGATTCACCATAAGTAAGCACTGAAATCTACAGCCTTTGAACTGCTCTGTTAACCATCTGACTAACAGGTAACTCTAACTGAGAGCAGTTAAATCCCAAAAGGAACATGTGAAAAATGTGCCCTACTTTCCTCTAATTCTGCGTCAATGGAGGCACAATTTTCCATTTCGTCATGTCAGCAAACACTGTTTTCTAAAGTGATAAGAGGATGTCCTCTTTAAAGAAGCCTTTGTGTTTGCAACTAGAGAAGGGAAAGGGGAATTGTAACTCACAATGAAGGCAGAACTTGGAATTGTTCCCCTTTTTAGAACTGCAGGT